GGTTTCGCCATGTTGTCTAGGCTGGTCTCAAACTCCTGCACTCAAGCGATCCACCTGCCTCGGCCTCACAAAGTGCTGGGATTACAGGTGTGAGCTACCATGCTCAGGTAACAACATATATTTTTTAAATGATTCTAAATGGCACTCTAAAATTAGGGGAAAAAATTGATACTTTTTTCTTTCCCTTTACCAATCAACTTTAATTGCCCTGGTTAATAAATCATGAAGAAAATTCAGAATAAATTATAAAAAGAAAACAAAATTTCAAAATAAATCATCTGTACTTCTGATAGTGACAAACTCAGGACTTGATTCTGGAAGGAGTCTGTATTTTTCACAAGCTGTTCTCACAACCTGGAATGCTTTTTCTGCTCATGTTCCTTCTTCTCCCAAGATCCAGCTTCAATCTTTAACTCCTCTTGATGCTTCTTTCCCAATTTACTCCAAATTTGGCGATCTTTCCTTTCCTATATTGCTATTTCCTAACACTTAGCAGTTGGATATATATTACATTTCATCAATTCTAAGATATATCCTTTTTTTCACATTTTAATATCACTGACATTAGGACGCATCACAATCAACATATTGTTATTGCTCCCTGCACATGCATATCAGAAGCACCAGTACCGAAACTGGCAGAAAGGGTGGTCAGTAATGTGAAGGAAAATTCCAGATATTAGAACAGCTCTACATAAGTGCAAAGGTGTCTTAAGAATCCAGCAACTAAGATTTTTGGTTCTTTTATGTATTAAGAAATGCTGCATCATCAAAGTTCTTAATGGCAAAATGAATGACACTGAATAGAAAAGCATCAATATCAGTGGCTGAATCAAGAAATTATTAGAAAGAGTTGGATTGTGAACGTGAAGTATTAGGAAAATCTTAACCAATTTATTTTACTACATTTTTTATGTATGAAGATGAAATATGACAAAAAAATTTATGTCCAATTAGGAGAGTTGTTTCAATATGTATAAAATTCAAATTCTAAGGGAAAAGCACTGTGTCAAAGTTTTTTCTATCTTAGTAATACATAAAATAATGGTATATTTCACAATCAAAGGCATTTCCAATTCATTGAAATAGAATACTTTTTTTTCTAGTCATTCCTGAGAATAAATAAGTCTCATTAGTTCCACAAGTCTGTACACTGCTTACTGTTATCATTCTCTTTTACCCCCAACATCACTAAGATCAGCGCTGGGCACAGAATATTTGTTCAATATCTGTTGACTGGCTGAGACCTGTCAGGTAGAGACAAAGGCTTAATGTCATGGAAAGAACAAAGGGCTAGAAACCAGGAGGCACAGATTCTAATGCCAACTCGGGCATTAACTTACTTTAGCTACAACCCTTCTGGGTCTTAGTTACCTCGTCTGTAAAATAAGAAGGGGCCAGCCTAGTTTGTAGGCTAGACTGCTGAATCCATGTTTAAGGAGTTGACAGTCTTGTGGAACTAACAAGACTTATTTTCAGAAATCATTTTAAACACTAACATTCCACTTTTTAAAAATGACTTGTGCAGTTCTATCTCTAAGACAGGATAAAGCTCTAGTTCTGAGTCCTTATATGTCAAGGACTATAATATAAATTCTGGCTCATCTTGGAAGATAGGAATAAGAACATTTTTGTGGGTACTTTTAATTAAACACAATTAAACATAATAAACCACTTTACAGTTACAGGTATAACAAATTTAAATGAGAGGCACTGGGGGTTACAGGAACAAAGACAACAAGATTTGGGCACAAGTTGGTGGTGTAAAATTACTACAGTTGCTTCAAAAATCTATTTACACATTAACCCATATAATCAATTCTCAATTATGTAGGTGAGGTTATTCAAGTCCTTCATTTCTGTTTTTCTCTTCCACTTAACTGCTTGTTAACTCACTTTCTATTGAAGAAAATCAATTTAAAATTTTATGATTTACTATAAACCCTAACAAATTAAAAAATGCCCTAACCATACTCCACATGCCATCTCTCATGGAATTCACTGACACAAGCACTGTCAAGGACAGAGCAAGGTATACTAGGAATCTCTGAATCTTCAGACAAGAATCCTTAAATAAAAGTTTCCTTGTACTGACAATATAGGCCAAGAACTGTTCACCTTTCTCCAGTTTTGAAAGAGGATCAGAAATTAAAATGCTGCTGGCTTCTATGCTGATTCTGAGGAAAAAATGTTATGCAACAAATATAACAGAGCTCAGAAGGGGGATTTTTAATTTTAGGAGTCACCTGGTTACAAAAACAAAACAACCTATGAGCGATGGAATCTACTTAATGTTCCCTCTTGCTGTTTGGACCAGAGATCTAGTCATCATTCACTAATGGATTGAACAATAAAAACAGAGTACATAATTCACTCAGATTCTTCACTGGATGTCCCAACTGACTGCATTAGAATATACAGCATCTGGAAAGTGAGTCTATAAATCCCCACTTAGGCAGTCAATAACATGTCAATTCAGACATTTTTATAAAAATATGAATTATAAATCTGTTAAAATGAGCTGCAACTATTAAAAAACACTGTGAAAAAAATTAGAACTAGACAGGTGAGGGGGTACATGGGAACTCTGTACTCTGTTCAATTTTTTAAATAAATCTAAAACTACTCGAAAATAAAGTCTATACATTTTAAAAAAATAGAATAGAAAACAGAAATTAGAAACATAGAACAGCATAGTAAAAGTGGGAACTATAATCTCTTGTTTAATTCTATAGCCTCACCAACATGAAACTGCATCAACCAGTCCAGCATCGGGGGATCGAATCTCCTTTTGTCCTTTTTCCCCCATCCTATCCCTCTAATCTCCTTTTGAAGTCATATTCTGTGTCACTTATCAGGCAATGAAATACAGTTTTAGTACCTCTGTTATAAGGTTGTTTTATATTAATTACCCTGCAGATTGCTGTGTAACTAGTCACATAGTTACACATTGTCTCTCCAAATAAAACATGAACAACTTCAGAGCAAAAGATGGCATGCAGCACAGTGCCTTTAACATAGCAGTGATAACAACATATCTCTAGCTATTTGGGATTTATAGTTTATCAAACTCTAAGTGTTCAATATTTGCTATTTAACTGAAAGGTGATGGGCTACCAAGTATTTATGAGGCATCGAGGGGTTGGGATATGAAGGGCTTTCCTCTCTTTGTATGGTTATATAATTTGCTTTTAGTGACTGGATTGTAAGTTTTTCCTTTCAGTTTTGGGTTTTGCACTTAACATGGACACCATTTTTGCAAAATACTATAGGGAGATAGAGAGAGTATAACAATGTAAGTTAGCACACACAGAGAAGTAAGATGGGTGGGATAGGATAGTATTCCTTTTACTCTTCTCTTTCCCATTATGGTCTACATACTATTATAGAATATGGTTGTATAATATTAGTGGCTTTCTATAACTAAAAGAAGGCCTCAAATTCTTACAAAGTTTAGGAGATACCTACTTAAATATTTACCCCATCTAAAAATTCAAATCAGTGCCACAAATGACGACGACAGTGACAGATGCTGGTATCTATCAACACCAACGTTACGTTCTTGGTATCCCATTAATCCTTCTACCAATAGATTTGCTGATCAGTACAGATGGCAGTAGGGGCTATGAAAGTTTTTTCTAGTGAACAATAACTCCTGTGTTCTTCTACCAAGAATTCAGAAGGCTAAAAAAAGTCATGCCAATACCGTGTCCTTCATCAATTACCACCTTAAGTTTCTGGGCATTCCATACTATGGCTTTAGGAGACTAAGTGTGATTTTTGGAGACTCATCAAGAGTTGCAGTTCTGGGAGCTCAATAATGACCTACTTATACTCTAACCCCCTGAGGCAGTTTTGGAGGTTCAAATGTCACAGGAAATTGCTTCACAAGCCAATGGCTGTCACACCTTGCTCTACAGCATACCTGACCATTAGAAGTATTAGACATACCTCCATATGTCTAGCTGTTATCATATCAAGAAACAGGCCAGCTGGGATGATAGCCAAAAACCTTTGGTTGGAAAGGTTTCAAGGTAGGCAGGCACTCACTCTGGTTTAGCACTTAATAAAGTATGTTTGCAGCAATAAAAATAATAAACCAGAAGTCATCAAAGGATTATTAATGTTGCTGGATTTATGACATCTTTTAATAACATTATCACTATTACATTTTCTAAAACTCAAAGCAGAAGAGCCCATAGTTTTGCAGTTGGATCTGCTACTTGCATCCTCAATTTCCTTCCTTCCTGCTCTTATTTATGCTCATTCCTCAACACAGACTCTACTCTCTTTCAAGTACCTCCAAACATAAGCCAAACACAACAACCAGACACTGTCCAACTTCAGCTTAAAATACTGTATTATCTGTTTTCCTCCCAATCCCAGCTTTAGGTCATCCCAATGTCCTTTTTAACTATATTACTATGCTCCTCAAAATACTGAGTTGTTGCCTAAATTATTTTACACCTACTCTAAACACTGCAAAGACCTGAAAAACTGAGTTGTACACCTGAACTCCCCCTCTTCCAATACACAAGCCATATCCATAAGCTACCCCACCGAATCCAAGTTCCAGCCCCTGATGTTTTGAAAGCCCCTGGAGGCCACCCTAAAAAGACAGAGTCCCCAACTCTGCCCTATCAACTCCATCCATTGGATAAATATTTACTGAGTACTACACCATGTGTAAAAGGCCATGAGAGCCATGCTCTTCTTTTGGAAGAAGCTGTTCATCTCTCCTCCATGTTCATGTGCTCTCTATTCCTCATGCAGTCCTTTCACCAATTCTTGCAAACACTGTTTCTTTTCTCAGTCTAAAGCCTTCTCTCAATGCTTTAATTCTTAATAACATCTCCATATTCACCTAGCTTCCCACCTTATTATTATTTCTTAACCTGATTTGGATCTCAAACCTCTACTGAACAGTATGTTTCTAATTATGGGCTGACAGTCATTTGTAGTTCCCCACTCACATTCTCATATAGATTTAAGTGTATTACCTTTGAGCAGTAGTTCTCAAGCTTTATATGCATCAGAATCACCTGAAAAAGTTGTAAATAGTTTGCTGGGCTAAATAAATTGCATTTCTGACAAGTTTCCAGATGACACTCATGCTGCTGATCTAGGGACCATACTTTGGAAATCACTGCCTTTGAGAATCTGATGAAAGCTATGAAAAAACGCACATACGTACATATAATTTTGCATGTAATTTCAAGGGGCTCATGGATGCTCACTCATAGATATTCTCTGCTCTATATTTTGTTCTGAGGAATGTTTAAGATACAGTGTTTCCTGACCTGACTGCAGGATGTGCTCGTTTGTGGTACAGGGAAATTCTTTCTCTGCAAACACCTCCCATGAATGAGGTGGGATGCTTGGTATTGGAAAGTCAGTTCTGTCCAATGAGCTGCCCTCTTCAGTATCATGTGGCTCGTTTACAGGCATGTGATAATTTTTCTATACTTCTAGCTTAATTCTCAGAAACAAAAGACTCATCACTTAGTAATTCAAAAGGGTCTTTGGAATGCCTCAAAAGAAACCCTTTAGGTGAGGAAATGGTATCGTAGAAAGAACATAAACATTGGATTAAGAGAGAACTAGACTGAAATCTTGATTCCGCCTTTCCTAAAGGTGTGACCACCCAGCTTCAACTTCCTCATTTATAAAACTGGTGCTCTTAGAGGAAAATAATTTTTTCCCTTCCAGGCAAAGGTTATGTGAACCAACTACAGGGAATGAAAGAGGGAGTGGTTCTACTACTTAAAACCAGTGATTCTTATTTATGGTAAGGAATTTAAATGTTGGATACAGAGTAAACATTTAAATTAAGAAAACAAAAAGACTGAACTAATTTCTAAGATGCCTCAAATCTAACATTTATTTATGAATTCTAATTGGCCAGCATATCATTATTCACTTACATTTTCTATTTATGCTAAATAGGTAATTCATTCTTCAATTTAACCCAGTATAAACTCCTTAAAAAACAATGATACTTTCTTGTATTTTACCTTTCCTTTCTCTACTTCCTTCCCTCTACAGTGTCTAACATTCCAACATCCACAAGAAAATAAAATATAAATAACAATAGCAATAAATTATTCTCCTTCCCTTAAATAGGCCCATGTAAAAGATACCTTGTTAAAACAGAAAAACCTTTTTGAAGAAGTTTTCCTTTCTATTTCCTCAATAGATAGCCAAAATCCATTAAATTCATCTTTATTCAATAAGATCTCCCAGGGCTTGCCTATTATAGATATAGCTCAATGCTGTATATTTTATTTTTTAAAGATCTATCAGATATTCTCTTCTCAATCTACAAGTCTATTAGTTTATTGCAGGAACTCTCAAATATCAGTGAATGTGCATCAATGTCTATCAACATTACCACTGAAATCCTAATTTATAAACTGTCTAAGTATCAAGCAATTTCAATTAAACATACCTCTTGTAGAAGACGTGGATCCAGGCAGTCACCATCATCGTTAAACATAGATTCCCAGCTCTCCTCAGTGGCAGTAATTCCCTCTGTGTGAGAAGTTTCATTTGCTTTTGGTTCAATGGATGTTTCCACAGATAATGATTCCCTATCAGGAAAAGATACACCAAATTCTACATTCTCTGAGTCATCTTGCTCTTTTGTTTTGAACTCTTTGGCAGTTCTTAGTTCGTGCGATGCTTCTGTTGTATCACCAGCACTACCCAGATCAATGCCCACGGCACTGTCTGAAAGTACTTTTGTCCCATTTAACATATTGAGTTCAGAGTCCAAAAAAGTGTTATAATTACTACCAGCAATCTTTTTTATAGGTAAGGAGGAAGCACAATCTGACAAGCTCTCTATCAACTTTCCTGTTGACTCTGTAAAACAAGATGAAATACTCTCAGCATAAATACCTGAGCAAGCAGTCAGGTTGCTGAAATTTTCAGTGTCATTCCCACTTCCAGCTACATGAAGAGGGATTGCATCTGCACTCATTCCTATAAACTTTGAGAAACTTCGTGTATTATTAGAGATCTCATCAGCTATTCTAACTGCAACTACATAAGAGCTATCAACAGTTACATGATCACTACAGGACGTAACTGTGGTGTCCATCATACATGCTTTATTGGTAATGTCACCTACATTCTTAAATTCATTACCTCTATGTGTTTCATGAGCAAGGACAGTTGTATCAGGAGGTTCGTGTTTTACATGTAACTCATCAGCAGTAATGTCATTCTTCTCACATTCTCCAATCATCACTGGACTAACAGTGTCATTTGTGCTCTCTGACAGAGAGATGTGACCCATAGTTTCAGGAATGGAATCTGTATCTTTTTGATCTAAGATGAAACCTGTACTATTGGCTATACCACCTACATTCTCAGCTTCAAAATCTATGCAAGTTTGATCAAAGACACCATCTGGACTTCCAGGAACAGAAGTAGTGGTGATGCCTCCGCTGCTGGGCTTCAATATTCCATCTGATGTTTGCATGCTTTGTTGCACAATTTCAGAATCAGAGCTTAGTTTTATTGGTACAATCATATTCTCAGGTTTCATGACAGAACTAAAAACTCTAGGAAACTCATATAGTATCTCCAAAACCTTGGTATTAGTTTCAATTCTGCCTTCCAAATCTTTGTGTTCAAATGTTTCCCCATCAGGTTCATGCCTACTGAAGTCACAGAATTCCAGATTTTGGAATGGTTTGCTTGGAACCTGAGCCTCACTGATTTCTGAACAGGCCTGTGACAGAAGTATCCTCTCATGTCCTGTCACATCTGTAGTTTCAACTTCCAAACACTCCACTTTCTTTGGTTTACAATGTCTCTGTAAAGGTGCATTAGTTATAACCCCAGCATTTGGGGCTCCCTGCTGATGTCCTTGGGATAATACTTCTTTGGATTCAGTGGTTCCTCTCTTAGAACAAACTCTATTTGTTTTTTGAAGGCATGTGTCCTTTCTTAATTTTGTTGAAGATTTTTTTCCTTCTCTACAGTTATGCTCCTTTCTATCAGGATTGATACCTAGTCTTCGAGCCTCTGGTTTGTCTCTAAAGACTTCTTTTTGGGAGAGAGAGCTTTCTTTTTGCTTTTCTTTCACCACAGAGTTAGGTGAACCACAGCTTTCTTCTTCATCACCTGTCCTAAGGAGTACTGCACCCCTTCGAGCTTTAGGTACATAAAGTGCCATGTCAGGCCTTCTGGCTCGAACTCTGCATCTCTCTGCTTCTTGCTGCATGGCATCAACACAATCTGCAAGAGAAGATGATTTAATTATCAGACACTAATTACAATGTATTGAACCAAATATTTTCTTTTTTCTTTTTGAGACAGAGTCTCACTCTGTCACCCAGGCTAGAGTGCAATGAAGAGATCTCAGCTCACTATAACCTCTGCCCTCCCAGGCTCAAGTGATCCTTCTACCTCTGCCTCCCGAGTAGCTGGGACCACAGACACATGCCACCGTGCCTGGCTTTGTGGTTCTGTTTGTTTGTTTTTGTATTTCTGGTAAAGATGGGGTTTCGCCATGTTGCCTAGGCTGGTCTCAAGCCCAGGCTGAGCTCAAGGCAATCCACCCACCTCAGTCTCCCAAAGTGCTGGGAGTACAGGCATGAACCACTGTGCCCAGTCTTTTTTTTTTCCTTTAATTTTTTGTTTTTGTTCAACATAAATATATATGCACATAAAGTGATTTTTGAGAGTAACTTGAATATTGGCTAGAAAATGAAATGACTTATCAGAGAATGCTTTCTAGAAGATGTTGCTTTTGATTTAGTATTTTTTAGAAAAGAGAAAGTAGTGAAAAAGAGAAAAGTATTATTCTATTAATACCATTTAGTCAAGTGACTTGCCATGAATTTCCCTTGCTTCCAGCAGTAATAAAACAGATCTGGCTAGGATGAAGGAGGGTAGAAGACGGAGGAAACTGTGATGAGACAATTCACTCTAGTAACTTCCTGACAACCTCCACCATGGTAGCTCAATGGAATTTAACAAGAAGAAATATAACAAAAGTTAAACCTTTATCTACTATCTACTAAATACAAGAAAATGTGCTAGGGAATTTCATATTGAATTATTCTTTTAATTTTCAAAATAATGCTATGAAGTAGGGATAAGTTTGTCCAGGACAGAGTAAGGAGGTGCAATACACAACAGAGAAACACTCACATACATGCAGATGCACCCACTGTTAACATTTCACAACATACATTTCAAAAGGAGATAATGAGAAGGTAGAGAGGAAAAAAGGCTAACACATCCTGTCCACTCTATTCCAGACCCCTAAAATTTCACCTGCTCCAGAATACTTCCTTGGTGAAAAAGCTCTATTCTCATGGCACAGGTTATTTTCCTTTCAGCCCAAGGAATACCGTGGCCCTGATCATTAAGTATCTCCAGTGATTATCTTGTTCTTTTTCTCTTTTGATATCTTAGTTAATATCTAGCCCAACATTCTTCATGTATTTTATATATTCCATTTGAGGAAGAATATGACCTTAACATTTAGCCATGCCAGGATTTTTCAAAAAACGCCTAATTACTGTTTTTTCAAAAAATGCCACACTAAGTACTGAAGTGTGTTTCATAGGAAGGGATACCAGAGACATAGCACACCTGGATTACAGTAAATAAAACAACTGACAAAATATATCATAATGAACTTCTGGATATAAAATGATGAAATGGGGATTACTTAGCAAAACTGATAAGTGGACTCACAAAAGATTAAACAACAAAAAATAATGGGTAGAAATGAATTTAGAGATTAAAGGATTATATAGCCCTTTGAAATTCAACATTTTATACAATAATTTAGATGTAAACAATAAACAGAGTGCTTATCAAATCTGCAACTGACATAAAAATGACAGAATACCAAAAATTAAAAAATTAAAATTCAGTATCATTTCTATAATCTGAAATGCTGTACTGAAAGCAATATGAAGGTATAAAACAGTAAACGCAAGGATCTCTTTTGGAGTTTTTTTTTTTTTTTAAAAAAAAAGAATCAAACAGAAGACAGAAGACGTGACTTCTGTACAATTTGCATAAAGAAAGACCTAAAGGCTTTTATTTTGTTCACAAGGTCAATAAAAGCCCCAAAATAGTGACGTGATGTTTTAAAAAGGCAACACACTCTTAGATTACAGAGTTTAGAAAATATGTCACACAGTGTAGAGCTAAAAGAACTAAAGGTATAACTCTTGCCCAAAGAGCCCAAAAAACCACAGCTAACTTTATACCTGAAAGATTGGCCGCTCTATAAAAGACACAAAATTTCTTGTTTATGTTTCTATGTTTCTCCAGAAGTCAGTACCAGAACCAAATGTTAGAAATAAAAGGAAAACAAAATTTAGTTCAATGTAGGAAAGAATTCTACTTCTAGATTTCTCCAATGTTATTATCAGAAAATGAGCTCTATCTCTAGCAGAATTTAGATAAAGGCTGGATGACTGACATATACTAGAGAAACTCTAAATTCTATGATTCTATTTCTAATCTGCAATAGACCTATCAAAGGCCTCAAATTATCTACTTTAAAATTATTATGTGCCACAGTTAATGACTTTACAAATTCAACCTTTTTTTCTTAAATAATGCTCACACACAGTCATACTACTACTTCCTGTAGCTGAAAATCAGTATAATAAATTTGTATTACTATCTATTTTCTACAAAAGCAATGATTTCAACTGTGCCATGACTAGCAGTGTGCTGGCAAATATTCAGCAATCAGCTTCCCAAGTGGCCTTTGTAGTATTACTTGATGTTTTTCTTTATGTCATTGATGTCAATGATATGAGTGACTTCTTAGCTGAAGTAATCATTTTTTAATAATGGAAGAATATATACTTTTTTTTAGTTACAATATAATAGATAAAGGCATGATACATTTTTATTAGCAGCATTCTCTCTCTCACTTTAAGTACAATCAAGAAATAATAAATAAAGTCCTATTTATGGCATTTGACAATCTCTGTAGTGTAAATATTCTTGCCATAGCTAATTTCTAGTTATCACTATGACATTACCAAACACAGAGCTGGGGGGAAAAAATGTACAAAAGCACACCATTATAAGTATTTCAACCAGAGATAGGATATACTTACATAAATAACTTCAAAAGCATAGATCATAATAAAATGTAGTAAATAATTAGGAAGTGAGGAGTTTGGAGTATTTATTAGCTTTTAAAAATGTAATTTTAACAGTAAGCCTATGTTCTTTAGTTTTTAATAATAGCTGTGTTTAACAATCAGTTTGAAGAATTCCTAAAATTTTAACCGTCAGTTCTCAGGCCAGTAGGAGACACTCCAATCCACCACTATGCCCATTCTTTCGTAACTCACAGACACAAAAAAGGAGAAGCATCCCCATTCTTGTGGACTGTCAAGATACAGTAGTCCCCACTCTTACTTGCAGGGGATATGTACCAAGATCCCCCATGGATGCCTGGACCATGGATAGTACCAAACCCCATATATATTGTCTTTTTCTATACATACATACCTATGATAAATTTCAATTTATAAATTAGGCACAGGAAAAGATTAACAATAACTAATAATAAAACAGAACAAGTATAATATGTAATATTGTTACATACAATATATAAAAGTTACATGAATGTGGTCTCTCAAAGTATATGATAGTATGCAATATTTTCACACCATGGATGACTACAGGAACTGAAACTATGGAAAGCAAAACCGTGGAAAAGAGGAGAACGCTATACTGCCAATTTAATTTAAAGCCTTGTTGCATTTTTATGAATTTCTTTTGCAACTATAGGCATGAAAGGCTTTTCACATTGGGAGTGGGGCTGCCTGCCATACAATTTTTAAAAATGTACCTTGGATTAAACTTTTCCCACCCTGCTACCTGCGATTAGCACTTGATATTCTCTCTCTCTCTCTTTTTTTGAGATGGAGGTTCGCTCTTGTTGCCAGGCTGGAGTGCGATGGTGCGATCTTGGTTCTCCACAACCTCTGCCTCTTGGGTTCCAGCTATTCTCCTGCCTCAGCCTCCCAAGTACCTGGGGTTACAGGTGCCCACCACCATGCCCGGCTAATTTTGTATTTTTAGTAGAGATGGGGTTTCTCTATGTTAGTCAGGCTGGTCTCAAACTCCCGACCTCAGGTGATCCGCCCGCCTCGGCCTCCCAAAGTGCTAGAATTACAGGTGTAAGCCACTGTACCGCGCCAGTATTTTCTCTCTTTTAACACAGTTTTAACTTTTTTACAATGTTCTAAGTGCTTTTTATCCATCTAATTTGCTTCCTAACTAGACAGAATCCATTATTTGGGGTGCATTTTGCAGCTAATTTATCCTTGAAGGACCATCAGCATGCACTCTGTTCAAAAAAATTATACTTTCTAAAGGGGATAAAAAATCAGATTCCTTCATAATGGAGGTCAGTCAATTGCTAACGCATGCCTTTAAAATATTTTAGGCCAAATCATTTTTTTATATTATACTGTTGAACACTGGGATCATACCTGAGCACCTGTCCAATTGCTTCTATAGTTTCCAAGGCTCCCTGAGAGAAAATATTGGTAACTTCCTTTAAGTACCTCTCTGATCCATCTTCATGAGAAATTGAACGAGCACAAAATAAATTGAGCTTTCATATTTTCACAACAGAACGTCAACGGTGTTTGTCCCATATTTGGTGTCTAAAACATATGGATCTCTCTTCAATCAACAACTGAGTATTGGCACTTAAGGCACTCATTGGGTAATTCAACCATGAATTGATTTAATCCAGTATTCACCAAAGACTCACATGAGACATCTGATATTTGAGAGAAACTGCCTAATGGGCATACTAACTATTCATTCTTCTAGAACAAATTTGGTATTTGTTAGTTCATGAGAATGCACCATAGCTAAACTATATATATTGTCTTAACATTTTATCTGGGAATAATTTCATACCTATAGATGTTACAAAAGTAAAAATAATACAAATAGTACCCTTACACTGTTTACCCATATTCACCAATGGTTAATATTTCACCTCATTTATCATTTGCAATCATGCATATTCCTCCTCCTCTTCCTCTCTTTACATACACACACACACACACACACACACACACACACACACACACACACAGATGCAGCTTTTTTCCTGAATATTTTTGAGGGCAAATTATAGACATCATGGCCCTTTGCCCTAAATACTTCAAAGTATAATACATTTCCTATAAATAGGGATATTCTCTTACACAGCCACAACACAGTTA